GGCTATAATAGCAAATGATGTTGAGTTGAAATCTCTTTTATCAGCCGAGACATCTCTGCAATTCAAAATAATCACATTTCCAGAGTCAAATGTAGATTTGATGTGTGATGTTTCAACTGGAAGAGCTCGCCCATACGTTCCAGATGAGTTTCGTCGAAATGTTTTTTGCTCCCTACAAAACATTGCCCATCCTGGTGTGCGAAAGACACAGCACCTGGTCAAATCTAGATTTGTCTGGCCCAAAATGCTCTCAGACATTGCCAAATGGGCAAAATGTTGCATCGCATGTCAAAGGTATAAGATTCATAGACACACTAAAGCACCATTGGCAAATTTTCAGGATCTTTCGCAACGATTTGACCATGTCCATTTGGACCTGATAGGCCCCCTACCTCTTTCTAATGGCTACTCTTATTGCCTGACCCTTATTGACAGATTTTCGAGATGGCCGGAGGCCCAACCTCTTAAAGATATCTCTGCGGAAACGATCGCTGAAGCATTCTTCACTTGTTGGGTGTCCCGATATGGTGTACCGTCTGTGGTAACCACCGACAGGGGACGGCAATTTGAAGCTTCTCTGTTTCGCTCTCTTGACACGGGGACACATGGGGATACACAGATCCCGAACAACAAGTTACCATCCTCAAACTAATGGGTTAATAGAGGAACTACACCGTCCTCTTAAAACTGCCATCAAGTGCTTTGGCACTGAAAAATGGACTGCGGTGCTTCCGTTGATCCTTCTTGGTTTTCGTACTGCTTTTAAGGAAGACATTGGTTGTACCCCTGCTGAGCTGGTTTTTGGAACCACAGTTCGTCTACCTGGTGAACTCCTTGTTCCAAACAACCAACCCTGTGATCCTACAGACTTTGTAAATAAGTTACGTCAGCACATGCAATCACTTCGTCCAACACCTCCAAAGCGTCATGGTGATGGCAAGGTCTTTGTCCATCCAGATTTAACAATTGCCAGTCATGTATTTCTACGACAGGATATGGTGAGGAGACCACTCCAGCCTCCTTATAGTGGCCCATTTAAAGTTCTTCGCAGATCGGAGAAAGTGTTTTACCTGGACATCAATGGAAAGACAGAGGCTGTTTCGATTGATAGGGTGAAACCGGCGTACATTTTGTACAACAGTGAACAGGGTGATGCTGTTTCAAGCCACAACCTAACACCTCCAGCTCCATCAGCAGTTTGAGATAAAGCCCCACAGTCTACAACAGCCACAACCCGTTCTGGCCGTCATGTGCATTTCCCCAAAAGATACCGTTGACACTGAGGGGGGAGTATGTGGCGAGTACTGTTCCAGTCAGAACTGCACTTAAGTGCGTGATGTATCTGCAGTACACAGCAATGCTGAACTGAAGTGAAGAGTTCAGTTGATCGGTTGATTAAGCGTGCTTTGTTTGTTGTTGTATCTTCTCATCCTAATGTTAACTCCTTATTTTTTAATTTAATTATTCTTTAAATTGTGATATAATAAAAATGTGATTGTCCATATATAATCTCTCATTCTTTCTCAACGCAACCTATTCCTCAGACTCATGCTTCCTGCTTTGCGCACTCTTTGAACATTGCTGTTCAAACAGGGCTGAGAGAAGAGGAAAAAACTTTGGATAAAGTTAGAGGAATTGTTGAGCATTTCAGGAGGATCCCAACAGCTGCGGCAAAATTGCTTTCAACATGTACTCAAATGGGACTCCCTCCACTAAAATTGAAGATTGATATAACAACAAGATGGAATTCAACTTATTTTATGTTAATAAGGCTGCAAACAATTAGGGATGCAGTAATTTCTACAATAGCGCTTATTTCACATCCTAAATTAATACAATTTTCAGATGAAGAATGGAACATTTTAAATAAATTAATTGAAATTCTTAAAGTCTTTGAAGAAATTACAACAGAGTTCAGCAGTGAAAAAGAAGTAACAATATCTAAAGTTATAGTAATAAGCAACAGCATTTTTAAATTCTTCAACAAATTATTAATCGATATCACACTCAATAAAGAAATAAAAACCGTTCCAGAGAAAATGAAATTGAAATTAATAATATATTCTAATGCAGAGAGATCCAAAACACTAGCTTTATCCACATTGTTAGACCCAAGATTCAAGAAACAAGGTTTCAGTGATGAAATTGCACTTAAAAGAGGTATTGATTCACTGGCAGAAAAAGCTAGTCGGATTGTGACAGAAATAAATGAAAATTTTGAGAGTGCAACCGAACCAAAGGAATCATCTTCATCTATATGGAATGACTTTGATAGCAAAGTTCAGAAATTGCTGCCAACTAATCCTTTAGCAGCTAGTTGAGGTCGACAAATATTTCGAGGAGCCCTTAATTAGAAGAAAGGAATATCCCCTTTCTTGTTGGAAAGATAGAAAATCTGTATAGCCTCGTCTCTTTCAAATGATGAAAAAATATCTCCCAATTCCAGCCACATCTGTACCCTGTGAAAGACTTTTTTCCAAAAGTGGGCAGATTATCACAGATCGATTAAAGCCCTCAAAGGTGACAGAAATTTTGTTTTTAAATTCAAATTTGTAACATAAGTACTGATTCTTCGGTTGATAAAAGTGTAAATAAATTTGATTTAAAATAAAATAAATGATTAAAATAAATTTGCAAGAAACATCAAACATTAAGTTTCGAGAATGTTATAAAAATTTATTCTTGAAGAATAAGAACTATTTTATTTTCGTATTTAACTGCTGTTATAAGTTGAATATGAAATTTCAAGCATTTATATATATGTATACAGTGGCAGTCAAAAGTATTCGTACACTTAAATTACTAACTTCAAAAGGGAATAAAAATTGAAATTGCGTAAAAATTAATTGAAATTTTCAAAAAATCTTAATGTTTTTCAAGTTGTTGCATGAATGATTTGAATTTTTAAGAAGAAATTTTTAAATTTGATCATAAAGAGCTCCTCGATAGTGTGAGAATTTGAATCTCACCACTAAACCTCGTGCTTCAAAAGTATTCGTACATCCACATTTCAAGTTGTAAAATAATAAAATTAAGACAATTTGTGCGCCAAATATCGTTTGTGGGAATATATTTGGCGAGATTTTATATTATTCTTACTTTTACCGCTTTATCTGTTTTATTCTTATGTTTACTAGCTTTGAAACTCGCATTTTTTGTTGTCAATCATACAGCTTTAAATTGAGATGGCTCGGAAGGGAACTTCTCTCGCTGAAAGAAAACTGATAATGAAACTACATAATAACTCTTTAAGAAAGATATCACTTGCTATTGGAAGACCCCGATCTACAGTGCAAAGTGTTATAGATCGACATTGCCAACGCAATACTGTTGAAAATATTCCACGAAGTGGACGCCCAAAAATTCTCAGCATTAAGCACAGACGCTTACTCGTAAGAAGTTTTTTGTGTCGGAAGTTAATAGAAAGAAACGAATGTCTTTCGCCAAACAGTATGTTAATAAAAATCCTGATTTCTGGAACAGGGTTATATTCTCGGATGAGAGCAAGTTTAACGTGTTTGGATCTGATGGCAGACAAATTGTGTGGCGTAAAAAGAATACAGAGCTACAACCAAAAAATTTGAGTGTGACAGTAAAGCATGGCGGTGGTAACATTCTAGTTTGGGGATGGGTACATGGAGTGGGTAAATTGCACATCATTGATGGGATTATGGATCACAAAAAGTACATTGACATTCTAAAAAGTAATTTAAATTCTAGCGCTTCACAAATGGGTCTTCAAACTAACTATATATTTCAACAAGACAACGACCCTAAGCATACAGTTTATAATGCTAAGCTCTGGGTATTATATAACACTCCCGAAAGACTCAACACACCTCCACAATCACCAGACATGAATCCTATTGAGCATTTGTGGAGTATTTTAGACGACAAAATCAAAAATCGAGGAGTAAAAAATAAAAATCAGCTGAAAACCGCCATATTGGAAGAATGAGCATCAATTACACCAGATATTACAAAGAAGTTGGTAGATTCAATGCCAAGTCGAATGAAAGCAATAATTAAGGCGAAAGGATATCCTTCTAAGTATTAAACTGTGATATATTATATAATTTTAGGGAAATTTCCTAAGTGTACGAATACTTTTGACACAAAAGTTTTGATAATTAATTTCTATTTTTTATATTTTTTCTGTAATTGTTTTACAAGAAAACTTCTTTTGATTAAATTGCTCAAAAATAAAGGATACAAGGCCTGGTATCTGTGTTTAATGACGTAGTATAATTAATAAAATACTATGAAGCGATGAGCACTTCAAAATTCATTGTACGAATACTTTTGACTGCGACTGTATATTTAAGTTTTAGAGGTATATATCATATTCATTGTATTTATTTTTGAAGAATATGCAATTTTTTATATTTTTGTTTTCGTATTTAACTGTTCTTATTAGTTCAGCAAAAATTTCGTGTATATTGATAAATTTAAGAGGCATTTACCATATTCATTGTATGAAAATTTATGTTAAATGATTGAAAAATATTACTGCTCTTTATAGTAAAAATGTAGTGCAATTTATAATATTCATTTTTCAAGAATTTTATATTTTTTCAATGAGAGAATTATTCATCATATTTGATATTTATTATTAGCAATTTATTCTAATTTAATGATTTAAAATAAATTTGAAAGAAACATCAAGTTTCGAGAATGTTATAAAAATTTATTCTTGAAGAATAAGAACTATTTTATACTTATTTTATTTTCGTATTTAGCTGCTGTTATAAGTTGAATATGAAATTTCAAGCATTTATATATGTATATATATTTAAGTTTTACAGGTATATATCATAATTGTATACAAATTTATGTAAATTAAATTATATACAGTCGTCCCCATTTAATCGCCCCTCCGATAATCGAATAACCCGCTTATACGAATAAAATGTAATGGAACCAAATCATTTTATATGTAACTAATGTTACATTTCCCCGCTTAAGCGGTTATTTCTTGTTTCCAGTCCTCGCTTAATTGCATAAAGAAGATGTACTGTGATGAATTTCTTTTTAAGAGAAGTTTCCCCAGCTAGAATGGAATTTCAGTTTAGAAGATAAGAATAGACCCCCGTATTCACCGTTGACTCTGGCCTAACGCGTAACTGCCAGTTCCGAAACCCCCGGTTTGGAAACTTTGACCGAGAGTTCAAAAGCGATTCCACCATTATTTTTTGACCGTCGGTTTCTTAACTGCGGGTTACTTGACCGGCAGTTACAAGCGGTAGATTGCGTNTTAAATAACTATGCCTAGTAATTATTATGCAGCATATGTATACTATATTTGCATTGCTTAATTCCAATGGTGCAGCTAAGGTTTTCAGCATCTAAGGACAATTTCGTTAACTATTCAGGTTTTGTTTTACCTTGAAATATGTTGGGGCTGTGAAATCATTCTTTTCTAAACCAATTTATTTATGCCTCAGACTTTGTAAAAACTTGAAAGCTGTCCTTGGCACTGTAATATATATTGACAAATCCCGGATCAACTAGGTGACTAGAATACTTTTCGTGGCGAATACCTTTTTTCACATTTTATTCTGTTACTTATTATTTATGCTAAGCAGAAGGATTCATTAGAAAATAATAATTGTCCTTCGTTGACAAACAGTCATTCATAAATGGTACTTAAATGCTAAAACTAAAAGGCTTTGCAATGTATATAATTCATTTATTTGCTGCTTTTGTGTTTATTTTATACAAAAGAATTACTTAGAAAATTTCTTTTAAATTTGATTTTTTATGCATTTATTTTCCATTCACTTTGCCCATTTTTTAAATACTTGTTACAAGAATGGAAAACTATAATGCTAATTGCTGACAAGTTAAATTTTGACTGAAAGAATTAAAAGTAGTGGGCTAGTAATTTTTAAGTGAAAAAATGAGATATCCAAAAAATAGAAAGATGTTTTATTTTGGGATGAATTTCAACATGTTTTTAAAATATTTTATCGATATTTAAAAAACAGTTATTAATCTCTGCATTTCTATAAATCATAAAGGAAGTAAACCATGTGTTGACAAATATCTTAACAAGCCACTAGAAAATAAACAATGTATCTCCATTTAATTTTCACATAATTTAACAATGTGTCAAATTTACTTTGAATATTACAGGATCTAGAATCACAGAATGATGTTACCGTAACGCCATGTCCTCCAACACCTGTGGCAGGGACGGAGGAAACTCCTGCAAAAGGCAGTCTAAAAGCCACCTATTCTATGTTCAGAAAGCGAACTAAGAAATCTGCCCCCTCTGCAACCCAAAAAGCTGCTTCTTCTATTGAAGAAAAAGCAGACTGGAAATTGAAATTTTAAAGAGTAAAGAGGAGAGCACAAGTAGAAAAGCACAAGTTAAAGATGAGGCTGCTGTCTGTGCAGATAGAGTTTCAGGAGACTTTAAACAAAATCTTGTGCACTGATCCCACTTCTTTAAACATTTCATTAAATAAATGTTTTATTATTTTACTGTGTTGTGTATCAATATTACTCAAAACATGTTGTAATTCAATTTTCCACATAATCTTGTTGTCAGTGGGAACTTAAGAAACAATGATACATTTTAATTATAACATTGCCTTATTATTGGGGACAGACTTAATTTTAATAGGCTATTTTATTCTTTCATGAGATTAATGAGAAATTGTCATATACAGATGCTTAATTAATTCTGGCAATATGTACTACTGGTTTTAAGGTAACTGATACAATTATAACAAGAATTCTTCAACAGACTTTTCTTAGTTTTTAGAAAATAGTTTTTCCTTACAGAGATATTGTATTACTATTTTACTTAACAATAACTTTAAAAAATATATAAAGGGTCGTATAAAAAATAATTTTATAAGACCTGATCAAGTTCTTATAAAAAATTATTTGTCTTTAGCTCTTGTTGACTGCACGAATAATGTATTTTGCAATAAACACTGATACAGTTACAAAGTATTTGTTGAGTATTAACCGTTTGAGTGAGGCATTCGCTTATTGGTTAGTATAATTTTCACATCTATTGAGAGCAGTTCTTATTCATTTTACTCAAATGTGATCTTTATTGTGCTATGAAATTACTATGCACTATTAGCATATATATAAGAAAACTCTTCAGCATTCAAACGGTTAAAACTTCAATAAATAGTAATACTAACCATGGAAATGGTTGTCTCACAGCCCCTTAAGAGGGATATGATATGCACCATAGAAAAGTATTTGATACTAATAAATTTTGACTATCGTTAATTGAGCAGGATAATTTTATAGCAGGAGCAATATCCATGCCCTCTTAAGTCCATTGATTAAAAATGCA